TACTATAATGTAACAGGCTACCGCTAGCAAGCAGCTAACAATGTCCCTTTAGTGGCTCGCGTTATTTTATTAGAACGCGCGTTATTTGTGTGCAGGTTCGGCTGATGGCTGGCATAGAACATGGGCGGGTATATGCAAATGTTGGGGGCGTAACTATTAGTGATCCTGACTGTAACGTCACAGTCGGTGTTATGTTCTGATTCGCCTATTTTTCAGTGGTCTTTTGCATTCTCGAGATTTACATAAAAAGGAGGAAACAATGGTGTTTGAGGCTCACGGTATGTCATTTCCATGTACAAAGCTGTTATTATTCAACTATGCCAAGGTAAATACAGTTTTCTATTCTATGGCACCTTTAATATCCTAATGATTTTTGGCATAAAAGAAAAATCAATCATTTTGACCCATACAATGTATTTTTGGCTATGGCTACAAATATAGGCTATACTTATGACTGGTTTTGTGGTCCAGGGTCACATATTGATGTGTAATGAGGAGGACAGTGTTTCATCTGGTCAACAAAGATCTGCCCCTTTGCCATTGTCACTAACTAGTCTGAGAGGAAGCTTTAGTTGCATCAGCATTTATGATATTTTCCGTGTTTTCTTTACAAAACTAATTATGTGCATGTTGTGTAATTGGCAAATAGCAAAGCAGGTAGTTGACTTCAGGCTTGAACTCGAGTGCCAAGAAGAACATTAGAGTGCAAACAATGCACTCTATGCAAACATTGCAATTTGCATGTACCTTTATGTGTCAAGTCAAGTCACCTTTATTTATATAGTGCTTTTAACAATACAGATTGTGTCAAAGCAGCTTTACAGTATTAAATAGGAAAATAGTGTGTCAATAATGCAAAAGGACAATAGTAAACACTCAATTTTCATTTAAAGGCAGTTCATTATTGAATTCAGTGATGTCATCATCCAGCTCAGTTCAGTTTAAATAGTATCTGTGCAATCAAGTCGACGATATCGCTGGAAATGAAGTGTCCCCGACTAAGCAAGCCAGAGGCGAAAGCGGCAAGGAACCAAAACTCCATCGGTGACAGAACAACACCTCCCCCTTTACCTTTTGGACACGGCTCATGTTTATAACAGTAATCTTGGGGGGTAGACTCATTTAAAATAATGTAATCATCAGGATTTAGCTAGGTTTCTGTCAAACAGAGCACATTTAGGTTATGATCAGTGATTTACAAAAAGTGCTTTCGTAAAAAGGGATTTGATATTCAATAAGCCCAGCTTTATAATTTGTTTCTCTGTATTATATACATTTTTTATTTGTTGAACAACAATTAAATTGTTACTCTTAAATTGGTTTGGACGTTTTTTGTATTTTCTCGTTCGGGGAACAGACAGTCGCTATAGTGTGATATCTAGGTGAAAGGGTCTCTATGTGCTGAGAAATAACTGATTTCTGTGACATGAGGCGGCTAGCAGATGGTCGGTTTAGCCAGTCTGTCTGCTTCCTGACCTGGGTCCCAGTTAGTCAAGTACAAACTAAAAAGACTATGTGCCATATTTCAAGAGAGAAGAGCGGCACCACCCCAGGAGGGATGAAGACCATCTCTTTTCTACAGGTCAGGTCTGCCCCAAAAACTCATCCAATTGTCTATGAAACCTATGTTATTCTGCGGACACCACTTAGACATCCAGCCATTGAGTGACGACAGTCTGCTATGCATCTCGTCATCATGGTAAGCGGGGAGGGGACCAGAGCATATTACAGTGTCTGACATCGTACTTGCAAGTTCACACACCTCTTTAATGTTATTTTTAGTGATCTCCGACTGGCAAAGTCGAACATCATTAGCGCTGGCATGGATAACAATCTTACTGAATTTACGTTTAGCATTAGCCAGCACTTGTTTTGATTGGAACGGAAGAGCGGTGTTTTGACCTGCGACTAAGCCGCCTCACAGTCACCCAGTCGCCCTGCTGCGGAGGCTCTGCCTGGCCCTACATGAAAAAGTAATTGACCCCTAAATCTAATAAATGGTTGTGCCACCCTTTGCAGCAACAACTGCAATCAAGCGTTTGCGATAACTGGCAATGAGTCTTTCACATCGCTGTGGAGGAATTTTGGCCCACTCTTCTTTGCAGAATTGTTTTAATTCAGCCATATTGTAGGGTTTTCGAGCATGAATGGACTGTTCGAGCATGAAAAGAACATTATTTTGTGTATTTGGTGTAATGAAATGTGTTTATGCGGTTTAAAGTTAAAAAAACGCAATATTTTCCACATACTGTACATTATTGTTTCTCCCCTATGCCCTGCCTTTTTGAAACGCGTCGATTTTAACAAAGCTCATCGGTCTGAAAAGCGAGGTGTGCTCTGATTGGCCAGCTATCCAGTGCGTTGTGATTGGCC